GGACTGTCCCTGTCCTGCAGTCCCCCCCGTTCGGGGCACCCCACATGGCTGGAGGGCAGACTGAGAACGGCAGGCCCCCTGTGGGTGGCCGAGTCACCGAGTGGGTGAGCGCGAGCTGGGCACAGCCAGGGTCCGGGGCTCTGGCGCCGGTGGGTCAGCCTGTGTCCTTGTCCCACACCTGCCCCGGAGGGTGCCTGCTGCCCGCCGGGATGTCGGTCACTGCAGGAGGGTGAGACGTGGGGCCTCCCAGGGCACAGGGCAGAAATGCACACTCCGCCTGGGCTTCCCGCACCCACCGACCAGAGTTCACGTGTGTGGCCAAACCCGGCAGGACAGAGGCTGGGCACCTGGGCTGAGGTTTTGGCTGTGACCAAGGAAAGTGCTCGGAGGACAGGGAGCAGGTGCCGCCCAGCCTGGTGTGGTGTCCAGCCTGCGTGGCCAGCTTCCTCTCCGTGCCTTCCTGCCTACACCTCCGGGCCCTGACGTGTGATGTGCGAGCGGCAGGTGAGGTGAGGGCCCCCGGGACCAGCCCCTCTCACCAGCAGTGTCCCCGGAGTCCAGACACGGACCTGACCTCAGCGCCTGGGGTCAGGGGCTGATGCAGCTACGAGCTCCTCATTACAGTTGGGTAGACGGCCCAGGCCGGGTTGGCTCAGCGGTTAGAGCGTCGGCCTGCGGTCTGGAGAGACCCGGGTTCGGTTCCCGCTAAGGGCATGTTTGTCCCCGGCCCTGGTTGGGTTGTGTGGGTGGCAGCCAGTTGATGTCTCTCTCATGTAGATGTTTCTCTCTCTCTCCCTCCCGCTCTTTCTGAAGATAAATGCAAAAATGTCCTTGGGTGAGGATAAAAAAATAAAAATAAAAAAGAACTAGGAAGACGACGCTGCCAGTGGAGGAGGGCGTCCGGGTCGAAGCCTCGGGCGCAGCCGGCACTGGGGTTCCCCTGGGCACCCACTTAGGGGGCGAGAGTGACACAGGCCCAGCCTTCGCCCACACCTCTGCCTTTGGGAGCCCGAGCTGCGCCGGAGGGACACAGAGCACAGATGTCAGAACGAAGTTTACGTTTATTTAAAAGCACCGGCAATGACACCGGCAATGACACCCCGTGAGCCTTTGCTTGCTGCATGGTTCTCCGGAGACTCACTTGGAGAGAAGCTGCCGCAACCGTGTGCACGCGGCGGCGGGTGGGACGTGCGTGTTTGCTCGTGTGCCGTCCACACAGCGCCGTGTGCCTGCGGGAGCCGGAAGGGACGGCTCCGCGGCTGGGCCAGGCGGCGTCTCCCCCTGGCCTCCCGAGGGCCGGCTCAGCCCCTGCAGACCAGGTTCTGCGGCAGCCAGGCCTGCAGGCTGGTCCCCTGGGCAGGAAGGCAGCTGGGTGGGTTCGTCGGGAGGGAGACACTGGAGAGATTGTCGCCCTGCTCGGACGCTGCCTGTCGGAGCCTGGACTCTCCAGTTCGGGGCGTCCCTGTTCCGGGCATTCACCCGGCGCCTGCCTTCCCGTCCCGTCCCGTCCTCAGTGAGCTGACGGCAGCACGAGATACGGGAGGAGCGGAGCGTCCACGTGGGCCACGGGCGACCCCACTGTTGTTGGATCAGGAGATGGAAGAGCATCTTAGCACAGGGTCACGGGGGCACGTGAGGTGAGACGTGTTTCGAGGGGAGAAGAGGTGCACGGAGCTGAGTTCTCGTCACGGCGAGGTCCCAGGTGCGCTGGGTGTGGCCGTGATAAATCAGCCCGTGGACGCCAGGGAGGGTCCGCTTTTCCCGGGGGTCCTAGGGCTCAGAGCCCCGGGGCCTCGCTGGTCACGCGCGTGGATGAGTGTTGGGCGTGTGACCTTGAAGCAGAGCCGCCGTGTCCTTCGTGTTTCGCCCCAACTAATTCACACTCACATTGAGCGGCGTCCCTGGGCTTGGGGTGTTCCTTGCACGGAAGTCATTTCTGATGTGACGCAAAGGTGGAGGCAGGTGTGCAGAATGAAATCCACAGGGGTGTGGATTTGGGGTTCTCTGCAGACCGGCTGTGGGTGCAGCTGCAGCCTCCGGGGTTTGGAGCAGGAGGGTGAGGGGTGTCCCGGGCTAGAGAGACGCCCCCAGGCAGGCTTTGGTAGGAGGGCGTCTGTGTGGAGTCAGCAGGCAGCTGGCGTCCTTGACGGAGGTCAGGGCCGTGTGGTAGGCAGTGGCACCCAGCGAACAGGCCCCTGACCCCCAGGGGAGCGTGAGGGGCACTGTGGGTAGTGTGGACCGTGTCGTGTTTGGTGAAGACTTCAGAAATCGGGAGAATCCAGGGAGGGAGGGGCGACGGAGGGCCTCGTGTGGCCCCCCAGACCTCCTGCCGCCCGGGGAGGGCCTCCCTCTCCTCCTCCTCTGCGCCTGGGTCTCGTGTCTGTCCTTCTGACCACGCTCTGGTGCTCGGGTGTCATCATCGTTTTAGGGGAACGTGGGCTCTGTAGGTGACATGTTGACCTGTTTCTCAGTGTTGGGGGTATTTTGTCACATTGACATTTTGTTACACGGTTGTGGCGGCTCTGACGCTCTGTGAAATACTCCAGGTTGGGCCTCCCGACGGGCATGTCCGCGCACACGAGTCTGTGCCCGTGACCTGGCATCTCATCCCCGTGTTTCAGAAGTTCCCACGGAGGCGTGAGCTGTGCCGCACCTGTGGGTGGCGAGTGGCCATGGCAACGCCACCCCTGCTGACCTCAGGAGGGAAGGCCCGGGGTGTCCTGCGCTCGGTCCTGGGGTGTGGTTGATGCTCCAGTCTCTGCGCTGGGCCCCTGGGGCAGAACCGTGCAGCTGGGGGACGGCAGGGGGGCGGGGTGAACCTGCCCCCCGGAACTCACAGAGAGAAACCCACTGACGTGTCGAGGGCACACGGAGCTGCGGTGGCCCCGGGGCGCTGTCCTGGGAGGCGGTGGCTTGAATTTTCACAGCCGTCAGCGCAGGACAGGGCTCTGAGGTGCCACCCACACTGCTCCGCAGGGCTTTGGACAGAAGGACATTTTAAAGAACATTGTCTTCCGCCCTGGCCGGTTTGGCTCAGTGGTTAGAGCATCGGCCTGCGGTCCAGAGAGACCGGGGTTGGGTTCCCGCCAAGGGCACATACCTCGGTTGCAGTTTGTCCCTGGCCCTGGTTGGGTCGTGTGGGTGGCAGCCACTCGATGTGTCCCTTTCACATCGATGTCTCTCTCTCCCTCCCATTCTATCTGAACAAAATATAGAAAAATGTCCACGGGGGAGGATTAAGAAAATAAAGAAAGAAAGAACATAGTCTTCCTGCACCTTACTCTTATTTCCTCGTGTCCTCAGGAAGGGGCTTGTCATACTTAGTGCAGTAAACAGATACGCTTCCAGCTGATTTTAAAGGAGTTTCATGTATGTCATTGATCTCCGTCTCCCGCAGTCGAAGGTCCGCAGCAGAGCTCAGCGGCCTCGGGCGTCTGCCCGGGATGAGGGCGTTCCCACGGGTGTGCACACGGCTCCGGGCTCTGGGTTTGCTGCGGCGTCGTTTCGTGGGCTTCTTCGCCGCGTGTCTGCCGTGGGGCGGGGTCTGCCAGGGGGCGGGCTCTGCCCGTGTTTAGATCGAGCTGCCCGTTCCCTGTGGTCGGCGCGCTGAGGGCTCGCTGTGTCTCGGATCCCGGTGCTGCCTCCAGCAGGTGTGTCTGGAAATACCGTCCGCTGTCCGTGGCTTGTCTTCTCTTCGCCTGACTGGACGCTGTCAGAGCAGGGCCTGCGCCGCGGGAAGCCGGCGACGCGCTCTGTACCCGGACGGCGCAGCCGTGGCCGCCGCTGGTCCTTGTGTCCGTCTGAGGTTGCTGTCCTGCCGTCTTGTTGGCGTCTGAGCAGAGTGTCCGAATGATGCTGAGTGGGGTCCGTCTTTCTCACGAGGACGCAGACCTGGCAGGGGGTCTGGAGGACGTCTCCCGGGTGGTGGTGTTTCTGAGCAGTTACTTCCCGAATCTGGGTAGATTCTGCGCCCTTCCCTCCGTCCCACGTGGCTGCCGCTCGCCGTTGGCCGAGTTAGAATTTGAGTTTCAGCTCCTCCGTGCGCCAGGCACGCAGCAGCTTCTCTGTGGCCACAGGGGCCGCGACCTTCCGTCACCGGAGGTCGCGTGGAGGTGCCCGTCCCGAGCAGCGGCGTCTGTGCGCAGAGTGGACCGTTCTGCCCCTCCGGGTGGCTCGGCTGGTTGGAGTGTCTCCCGTGCACCAGAAGGTTGTGGGTTCGATTCCAGATCGGGGCACATGCCTGGGTTGCGGGTCCCATCCCTGGTCGGGATACAGACGGGAGGTGACCGATGTCTCCCATCAGTGTTTCCTCTTCTCTTCCTCTCGCTCTAAAATTGATGAACAAAACAGCCCATTCTGTGCAATGTGGTTTTACTCTGTGTTCGTGATGAAATAAAACATTAAACAAAGAGGGACGAATAGAACGGGAACCCAGCAAGGTTGTTCCCTGGTGGTTTGGTTTGGTTTCCTCGTTTGTGACGAGCAGTGAGGGGTGGTTTGAGCCGCAGCTGCAGGGACGCGGTGCCCGTAGCCCAGACGCGCACCCGTGGGGCCTCCCTGCCCCTGGCCGCCCCCGTCACGCGTGTCGGCGTGGACTCGCGGGGGGGCAGGCAGTGGACATGCTGCTAGGAAACCTGTTTGCAGAAATCTCATCCTGGGAATTCAGAACCGTCTGCCTCAGGTCCCCCGGGTCTCCTTCCTTGGGAGGGACAGGGGGTGCCCGGGGTGACCGCGTCCCCGAGACGCACCCTCGTCCCTCCCATGACCCTGGGATCCGCACACACTCACTTCGCTCTGTGCTCTCCCCACACTTGTGTGTTTAAAGCCCCGACGTTAGTTCGAGAACATGTAACAGGTTTTCCTGTGGTTAGTAGGCTCCTGTCATCTCAGCTGAAATAGTGTTTCCTTGGAGGGAGCCCGGAGGGAGCCCTGGAGACAGCGTGTCTGCGGTTTCATCGGTCATTTTCCTGCTACTGATTCTCTTCCTTTTTCCTTTTCAGGTTGCTTGCGGTGTTGAATGTTGAGAAGGTACAGTTGCTGAAACTTCGGTTTTAGGCGGTGGGGGGGCCTATCGAAGCTGTACCCTCAGGCGGGGGGCTTATCGGAGCTGTACCCTCAGGCGGGGGGCTTATCGGAGCTGTACCCTCAGGCGGGGGGCTTATCGGAGCTGCACCTTCAGGCGGGGGGCTTATCGAAGCTGCACCCTCAGGCGGGGGCTCACGCAGGCAAGCGGTGAAGTGTGATGTGGAGTAAGGGCAGGTCGGTTTGCTGCTGGGCCCACAAGTCCACTGAGTGGGTCCTTGAGGTGAAAGCGTCCAGTTACGCGGGACGTTACCCCAGGACCTTCCCTGCACCTGGAGGCCGCCTCAGCTCACACCTGTTGGGTGGGGTGGGGGCGGAGACTGCGGGCCAGCACGCTGAGCTGCAGGTGCGGTCAGGGCGGCCCTTCCGCGGGCACTGACGGAGACCAGCGACCCTCCGACGTCCTGCTCAGTGCCCCTCCCAGACAGGCCTGAGCGGGTCTGCGGGGACCGGCGTCCGGGTGACAGGCAGACACTCTGCACCTTGTCTCCTCTGGAAGAGTCTTCTGCAGAACTGCTGCTTGAAAGAAGCAGTCGCTCGCGGAGCCGCGTTTGGTCGTTAACTGGGCATGTAGCTGCCGAGAGGGAAGATTAAAGTGGGAGCCCAGCCCCGCCTCCCGGACCCACACTGGAGTCTCCCCGATGTCACAGGTGTGGTCCGGAGCCTCCCGGTCGCCCGGACGTCTGCGGAGGCAGCTCTTAGCGAGGTGGCGGTGTGTCCCGCGCACCTGAGCTGCCGGCTGTGCGGGTGGAGAGCGGGGGTCCTGGGGCAGAAGCCCGCGTGGCTGGGGAGGACCGCCGTGCTCAGCGGGCTCTGTGTCGTTGCAGCTATGACGTCCCGCGTGCCGTTCCTCGTGCTCCTGTGGGGCGCCCTGGGGATGGCGGATGCCGCCAAGATCATCGTGGTGCCGCCCATCATGTTTGAGAGCCACCTGTACATCTTCAAGGCGCTGGCGTCCGCCCTGCACGCACGGGGCCACCGCACCGTGTTCCTGCTGTCGGAGGGCCGCGAGCTGGCGCCCTCGCCCCACTACGGGCTGCAGCGCTACCCCGGCCTCTTCAACAGCTCCGCCTCGGACGCCTTCCTGCAGGCCAAGATGCGCAACATCTTCTCGGGGCGGCTGACGGCCGTGGAGCTGTTCGACATCCTGGACCACTACACGCAGAACTGCGACATGATGCTGGGCAGCCGGGCGCTGATGCGGGCGCTGCGGCGCGAGCGCTTCGACCTGCTGCTGGTGGACCCCAACGACATGTGCGGCTTCATGGTGGCGCACCTCCTGGGCGTGCAGTACGCCGTGTTCTCCACCGGCCTCTGGTACCCCGCCGAGGTGGGCGCGCCCGCACCCCTGGCCTACGTGCCCGAGTTCAACTCGCTGCTCACGGACCGCATGAGCCTGGTGCAGCGGATGAAGAATGCGGGCGTGTACCTGGTGTCCCGGCTGGGCGTCAGCCTCCTGGTGCTGCCCAAGTACGAGCGGATCCTGCAGAAGCACGGGCTGCTACCCGGCAAGTCCATGCACGACCTGGTGCAGGGCTCCAGCCTCTGGATGCTCTGCACGGACGTGGCGCTGGAGTTCCCCCGGCCCACGCTGCCCAACGTCGTGTACGTGGGCGGCATCCTCACCAAGCCGGCCGGCCCGCTGCCCCACGTAAGGCCCCTGCGCGTCCCCGGCGCCCGCCCACAGCGCGCCCCTGTCAGGCGGGTTTGCAGGAGCGGTAGGGTGGTTATTTGATAGAAGGCTACCTGAGGCAGGTAGGACCCAGAGCCCACCAGGTCCCCGTATCGGAGGGTTTGGGTCCCGGGTCCACGGTCCTGCTCTGAGTGTGTCCCTGACGCCCAGGGCTACTCTGCCACGTGGTTGGAAACGGGCTGGAGGGACTGGTGACCGAACCCTCACTGCAGTGAGCGGTGTGGTGAGATGGCTTTGCCCGTGTCCAGGTGCCACGGGTGCCGTGGACAGAAACCACGTGGACAGAGTTCTCTTCTTGGCATTGAAACAACCAGAAAGTTGGCTTTAAGCCGGTCAAGGGGACTGTGGGAAGCCCACCCACCACGCTCGTTTTCGGAGGCCGGGATGGTGGCCTGTAGTGGCGGTCCCTGCCCGAGTCCCCTGCCCGGCTGTGCTCACCTCCTCGCTGTGTCTGTCTCAGCAGCAGGTGAGTTATGGCCTCAGGTGCGTCCGGGGCTTCCTGCCGGCACCCTGCAGCGAACGCAGGGGGGCCGTGGTTTTCTCCGTGGTGGCGCTCCTCATGCCCATGGCAGGCAGCGCCGCGCACCAGCTCGCTGCTAGCTCTGTCCCGCGCACGGCCCTGGCGGGTTCTCTCCCAGCGGCAGGTGAGGGCTCACCGGCAGTCTCCCACGGGGGTCACGTGGCGTGGACGCTCCTCTAGGCTTTTCTGACACACCCGCCGGAATGTATTCAGGGACAGTACCTGGACGTATTGCGTGGGACGTGGGACGTGGGACGTGGGACGTGGCTCCCGCAGGTCTGTGTGCCATCAGCCCGGCCTTTCCAGCAGGTGCCCGAGGGCACAGTTCTCAGACGTCGCGGCTGACAGCCGTGGTCTCGGCCGCTCAGGAAGCCACCAGGCTGCTCCTGAGTCCTTGCACAGTCCCTCCCCAACGCTGCTGGAGCCGGGGTGCAGAAGCCACTGTGGGAGGCGGGTGGGCAAGCGGAGGGGCCTCAGCGGTCACTGGCCACCTGCCCCGCCCCGCCCCACCTGTCAGCCCTGCGCCTTCTCTGCAGTGTCTGGAGCCCAGCAGGAGCTGCGGTGCATTTTCCGCTCCTTCCCCGGCCCCACCAGGGAGACGCCAGCACCCGGGTGTTTCTCTTCCTCCCACAACCGGGCTCCGCCCCGGTGCTCCCCTCGCGGCCCCTCCGGTTTCACGGAGTTTTCTCAGGGTGCCGACCGCGTGGAGGGAAGGCAGTGCTTCCTGTTTCCACAGTTTTGGGTTGACGCTGGCGTCCCCTGGGCCGGGGACTCCCTGTCCTTCCCCTCTGGGCCCGTGGTCACAAGCCCCAGGTAAGCATCCCCGCCCGAGGCGGCCACACGCGTCTCCCGCAGCACTTCCGGGCCGTTCCTCTCGCTCCGGGAGGCGCCGGGTCTGTGAGGTCAGACGCCGAGGGTCACGCGTTCCTCCTGCGTCTGTCCGGTGGTCTGTCTGACGCGGCCCGGAAGCGAAGGCGTCTCTGCGGCGGGGGAACGGGTGGCAGGCCGGCGCGGCTTTGGGCCCACGAGGCCCCACTCACAGCTCCACGTTACCTCCTGGGTGTCCGGCCGGGTCGGGCTTTCCAGGTGTCTGGAGGTGATTGGATGGGGGTGTGATTTCACACCTGGAGGACAAGGGGCGGAAACATTCTGAAAGACACGATTCAGAAGCTTGCGTGACGTCTGTGCCCCAGGAAACTCCGAGCGTCTGGGTCACCTCTGTTCACTTTATTCACTTTATTCACTTTCCCTCAATGTGAGGAGGCCCATTCACTGGTCACGCAGGAGAGTCAGCAGGTCACCTGCTCCTGCAGGGCCAGTGGGATCCTCAGAGTGGAGCCAGGTGAGTGAGGAGCCAGGTGAGTGAGGAGCCAGGTGAGTGAGGAGCCAGGTGAGTGAGGAGCCAGGTGAGTGAGCAGCCAGGTGAGTGAGGAGCCAGGTGAGTGAGGAGCCAGGTGAGTGAGGAACCAGGTGAGTGAGTGAGGAGCCAGGTGAGTGAGCAGCCAGGTGAGTGAGCAGCCAGGTGAGTGAGCAGCCAGGTGAGTGAGCAGCCAGGTGAGTGAGGGGCCAGGTGAGTGAGGGGCCAGGTGAGTGAGCGGCCAGGTGAGTGAGCGGCCAGGTGAGTGAGCGGCCAGGTGAGTGAGGGGCCAGGTGAGTGAGGGGCCAGGTGAGTGAGGAGCCAGGTGAGTGAGGAGCCAGGTGAGTGAGGAGCCAGGTGAGTGAGGGTTCAGGTGAGTGAGGAGCCAGGTGAGTGAGGAGCCAGGTGAGTGAGGAGCCAGGTGAGTGAGGAGCCAGGTGAGTGAGGAGCCAGGTGAGTGAGGAGCCAGGTGAGTGAGGAGCCAGGTGAGTGAGGAGCCAGGTGAGTGAGGATTCAGGTGAGTGAGGATTCAGGGATCTTTGTCCAGACGCCGCGGCAGCTCCTGCCACTCCTGTCACTGTCCACGGTTTCCGCACAAAGACAGTTGGTCCCTGATTTCCCGTGGCAGCTCAGAGGCCACGAGGACTTGACGGGACAGGGGATGCAGCCGTCAGGACCCTGGAGCTCGGAGGGGGTCAGGGCATCAGCAGAGCAGGTGCTCGGTGACGTGTGGGACTGGGGTGGAGAGAAGTTGTGTCTGGACCGTGGGATTTTCACCTGCGCCTGAGCAGCACGGGGCCGCCCGGGGGTCCTGGCCACGTGGACTGAGCGAGACGGAGCCCCTGGACCACGTACATGTCCTGGCGTGGTTACCGTGTGGGTTCACTCGGGCAGGGAGGCCTGTACACGGGTCCCAGTTTGAGCAGGGCCTGGGAGTGTCACGTGTGAAAGAAGTAACGACAGGCGTCCCTGCAGCTTTCCGTGGCTTCACGGGGCAGTGACACACCCGGACAGCATCACACGCTTATTCGTTACCGTGTTCCTTGCCGATCCCGAGAGGGATTCCCGGTGGCGAGGTGGTCAGGCCCTGTCGGAACCACGGTCTCGGCCACTTGGCAGCTTCTCTGCCTGACGCAGACACCTCGCTCAGGTGCCCGGGGTGGGTGTCACCTGTGCTCCGCCCTGGACCGGGCAGCCCTCGGCTGGCACCCTGCCGGGCACCCAGCAGCCCAGTCTCTGCAGTGAAGTCGAGTGGCTTCCGTGTGGCTGACGAAGAGAAAAGGAGTCACCGCCCACTTCCCTCTGGGCAAACGGACAGTCTCTCCTGACCTGAATGAGGACAGTGGCCTCCGCACCACCAAGGTGACCGGGTGCCCTGCCCGGTGTGCTGCTCCGAGGTCAGCAGGCTCGGGGTGTCCTTCTCCCGGCTGCAGAGACATTTTTAATTCAGGGGAATTTGGTCCTGGGGCAGGTGCAGATAAGAGCGGCAGAGATAAGGGACCCAGGCAGGGCCGGGAGCCTGTCATTCTGTCCTTCCCGGGACGGCCTCGGGGACACTGGGCAGCTGGCTCCTTGGACTCAGGCCTGGGAGCGGATCCGGTTGTGCGGAGAGTAAAACCAGGAGCTCAGGGTGCGTCCCAGCCGTCCCTCCCTGTGACACGGCGGACTCAGGCCCACGGGGGACGTTTGAACAGCATGCCGCCCGGAAGTTGTGTTGTCTTGTCCGACGTGAGGCTGGACGGAGGCTGCAGCCACCGTGGCACGTTGAACAGGGTCCTCTACTCAGAAGAGGTGCCCTTTGTACTTGGTCCCTCCGTTTTTATTGTCACGGTGGTGGTTTGGGTTCTTCTTTGGGATCATGTCCTGTCCCTCGCACCCTGTTGTTGAACATGTTCCTCTGTGTCTCTCGCTGCAGGTCTGAGCTCGGGGGGGGGGGGGTCCCAGTTCCAGGTCCTGGCTCTGAGCTCGGTCCCCTCCATGCCACGCTCAGGCACCTCGCGGGCTCCCTGTGGACCCCATGAACATGACATGTTCTCGCAGGTTTCGGGGTTGAGCGCGTGTTTTGTCTTCCCTCTGTGGTGAGAAGCCGGGTACCCCCGTCAGTGCAGGTCCCTGGCGGGGTCAGCAGCTGGCTGTCCCTTGGGCGGGTGGTGGCTCCGTGTCCGGGCTTTGGGAATTCCCTGGCGGCAGATGGGTTAGGGAAGGTAAACCTACCTGTGAGCTGACCTGCTTCCGTGCTTCTTCGAGTACAGCCAGTGCTCAGGCAGCGCCTGTTGCCATGCTTCTGCTCAGATCGGGGAAGGTCCTTGCAGAGCGGTCGACGGGGCTGGTTTGCGTGGCTCTGAGGCGAGCCAGGTCCTCCAGCTGCGAACCGTGCAGGGAGCAGGAGGGCAGCGGCCCAGCCGCCTGCACCCACCTTCCTCGGGGGGGACGGCCTGTGGCTGGGGGGCCTTCGTGCTTGTGGATCAACGTTCATTCACGTTGGAAAGACTGACTGACGCACTTGCCAATTTATTTTGCAAAAACGGGATAAAATGGGGTTTTCTACACTTGATTCCCAGACCTTTGGTCAGTGAAGGCAGCTCAGGTGGCTTGATGAATATTTAAACCCGGGGGCCCGCACAGACTTCGGGGAGGCGGTGAGGGGTGTGCGGGGCTGGGGGGCAGGGGCCCTCTCTGTGGGCTGAAGCCGAGGGCACCATGAACTTGCTTGCGGGCGGTGTCCCAGGAGGGGCTCGGTCTGAGCTGGTGACGCCCCGTTGGAGGCCGGAACTAGGCCTTCAAGACCAAGAAGTCAGGATACCACGGGAGAGGGGGCCAGAAGCGGGGCCTCAGAATCCAGGAAAGAGGGTTTCGGGAGGGGACAGTCCAGTGGTCATCGCCGCCCAATGGGCGTTTTCAAGCGTCCGTCCTGTTCACTGGACTGTGTTAATTGTTGCAACAAAAGACTGAGCTCACACTGTCCTCTGATGGTGGCTTCGGTCGACTGCGTGAGTTGCCCATGAAGGGGGCAGAGCCCAGTGGGGCACCCGGGGTCCATGTTCTCCAGGACTCCAGCCAGGTTCGGGGGGGTCACTTGGC